AATATGATTCAAAACCCCCACCTGGCCATAGAAGCAGATGATTCAATGACTAAATATGATTCAAAACACCCACCTGGCCATATAAGCAGATGATTCAATGACTAAATATGATTCAAAACACCTACCTGGCCATATAAGCAGATGATTCAATGACTAAATATGATTCAAAACACCCACCTGACCATATAAGCAGATGATTCAATGACTAAATATGATTCAAACCACCCACCTGACCATATAAGCAGATGATTCAATGACTGAATATGATTCAAAACACCCACCTGACCATATAAGTGGGTGATTCAATGACTGAATATGATTCAAAAAACCCACCTGACCATATAAGCAGATGATTAAATGACTGAATATGATTCAAAACTTCCACCTGGCCATAGAAGCAGATGATTCAATGACTAAATATGATTCAAACCACCCACCTGACCATATAAGCAGATGATTCAATGACTAAATATGATTCAAAACACCCACCTGACCATATAAGCAGATTATTCAATGACTAAATATGGTTCAAAACACCCCCCATACCATATAAGTGGGTGATTCAATGACTGAATAAGATCCAATGAATAATTTTCAACTGATAATAGAATCATATGATTTAATGACTATATATGACCATATAAGCAGATGATTCAGTGACCCATGAGACAAGATGAGATGATTTGTAACAGTAATCTATGTTCATTTGTATGCAGGTATGCATCAGCAGCCCAAGAATTAGTTATGCAGGCAAGGGGGATCTTGAAACAGAATGGATGGAGAACAATGGGAGACACAAGACAAGCATCTAACGATGACATCACCGTGTTTGTTATTCCATTACATTGTCATGTTAATTTATCATCACAAAGTAGTCTTACTGAATCACAGGATGCATTGTCAACTTAAATGCAGGGAACATAGCTTTGTTTTCAAGAATCCAAGCAATATACATAACTGTGTTGGATGCCATGAACTAAATAAATAAATAAATATTTGTATTATTTATGGACCATGAAATGCAAAGCATATTTTCATTGAAAAGTATCAATTTTATATTATTAGGGTTACTATGCATAAACAATCCACGTTCCATGTTTAATTGTATTAATATTCGTTGTTTGAGCACGTAACCAAAAGCTGAGCACAGAACAAAAAATGTTAAAAATTGCCATAAATTCTTTTAATATGGAAGTCTGTTTTTTATATAAATATTAGTATATGTAATTGACAGAAATCACAAAATAGAACCACTAAAAATTTTTACTGATTAACCTGACCTCTATAAGTGAACTTCTACACAGCAACAGGCATGTTAGAACTATGATGTGAATTATAGTACACCCAGAGGTTCACATATTATTCTCAGCAACTCGATCAAAATGAATTCACAAGGCGATAAAAAGCCTATGCACTTGGCAAATTAGTATACCGGTCTCTAGGAACTAGGAAATAATTGCATATATGTCCATCAATTTAAAACATACAGAGACAACAAATATATGTATGACATGATACTTAAATCTATAGATGATCTATTTTATAGTGAATGACGTTCAGATTAAATTACAACGATTCATTCAGGAATATTTTGTTGAGATTCCCGCTTGTAACGTAATGTGATAATCATGTGGTGTACATTATATGTGATGTTGTGAGATACATACATACATATTTATTCACTGTCAGTGTACTATGTTCAATTTCTGGGTTACTGTACAATTAACAATTATCCCTAAAATACCATGCACTGTTGATCATTGGTCAATCTCTCACAAGTTTTGTTGCAGTACTTGAGGTCAAATTGAAATAGAACAAACAAAATTGTGTGTGAATCAACAATGTTTGGTGTATATTTGGATGGATTGTTTATTTAAATAATTGCCAAGACATGGTGCATTGTCAAGACATGCTGCATTGCCAAGACATGGTGCATTGCCATGACATGGTGCATTGCCATGACATGGTGCATTGCCATGACATGGTGCATTGCCAAGACATGGTGCATTGCCAAGACATGATGCTTTGCCATGACATGGTACATTACCATGACATGGCGCATTGCCAAGACATGGCGCATTGCCAAGACATGGTGCATTGCCAAGACATGGTGCTTTGCCATGACATGGCACATTGCCAAGACATGGTACATTGCCAAGACATGGTACATTGCCATGACATGGCACATTGCCAAGACATGGCGCATTGTCAAGACATGCTGCATTGCCATGACATGGCACATTGCCAAGACATGATGCTTTGCCATGACATGGCACATTGCCAAGACATGGCGCATTGCCAAGACATGGTGCATTGCCAAGACATGGCGCATTGCCAAGACATGGTGCATTGCCAAGACATGGCACATTCCCAAGACATGATGCTTTGCCATGACATGGTGCATTGCCATGACATGGTGCTTTGCCATGACATGGTGCATTGCCAAGACATGATGCTTTGTCATGACATGCTGCATTGCCATGACATGGTGCTTTGCCATGACATGGTGCTTTGCCATGACATGGTGCATTGCCAAGACATGGTGCATTGCCAAGACATGATGCTTTGTCATGACATGCTGCATTGCCATGACATGGTGCTTTGCCATGACATGGTGCATTGCCAAGACATGGTGCATTGCCAAGACATGCTGCTTTGCCCTTTATTATTTCTTTAATAATTTGAATTTCACAAAACAAAGTCCTATCCCAAAATTCTACTCATTAACACCGAAAAATTAATTGCCGGCCAATTTCAATGATTTTTGCGATCATTACATTCACAACTGTAACCAATCAAGAAAATTACGATAACTTTCACCATTCCAAATTTCAAACATTTTTTAGATAAAAATGTGATCACATCCACATAAGTAAATACAGTCTTGAATCATTGGCAAAATACAGTCCCCATTTGCATTTCAATTCCTGTTAGTCAGTAACAGCATTAATCACCGTAGAATACTTTCTATTAGTTCAGAATTAAATAAATACACAAGAAAATGGAAAAGAAAATATCGTTTTTTGGTTTAAATTCATATCACTATATAAGTAAACGATAAGTCTTCTTAAAATCAAAAAAAACTTACTCAATTGATTAAGCATTGATTCATGCCAAAAATATTCTGTTCAGTCAGTTCTACAGAAAATTTCTTTCAGTTTTGGAGTTTATGTGTGCTGCCATACAGAACACCAGGACAGTGCCAAAAATATCATACCTTCTATCATTATCCTACACATAGCAACACATAGCAACCCATGAAATTCTTTTGTCATGAATGTTTGGCAGGTTTTTATTTATTTCTCACTGTTATAGTATATATAAATATTACTTGTATAACACAAATAGTTACGAGCAGTCCTAAAATAAAGTATAGTTCTTTTTAAAATGTTGCTTCACAAATTCTACATAATCTTTATAATGAATGCCAATTGTCTGTAATTCTTAATATTTTCACTCGAGAATTGTTCTATGGCACCATATAGTGATAGGAATTGCAATAATCTTGACTTTTGCAGTGAAAGTGGAACATGGTTTGTTAACGCCTTGCTTCCATACATTATTTGTGGGGATGCAGAAGCTGGGAGTTGTTAGATAACGAAAAAAGATTTGTTATTAATATTGAAAGGTCTTTCAGGTGTACCATACGATGTATCTCATTTGTATAACATCATTATGTACAGTATTGAAGTAATTTTTTCATTGTTCATATTGAGGAAAGTACATGTGTTTTGTAATGTAATTTTCTTCACATTGTAGTTTTATCTTGTACAGATATGGAATATTTCTTTTATATGACAATCTAGGTATGGACAATCTAGAAACCATAAAAAAGTATATACTGCAATAGTTGTACATAGTGTAAATGAATGGAACACAAAAAGAACTGAAAAAGAAGAACAGTTTCTAGAGGTCTTTTGTTCAAGCATTGTAAGCCCAGAACTAAAAGTATTTTGTTTGAGAGGTTTCTGATTTACACAGGGTTTAGACCGATTTACAATTTATATATTAGAAATATAGATTTTACTTGAGTAACCTCATTATTTCTGTGGGTACAGGGGTGGACCAATATTTATGTGGTTACAGGGGTGGACCAATATTTATGTGGTTACAGGGGTGGACCAATATTTATGTGGGCCTGACTTGGTGATAGTAGGTAATGCCTGAATTGTTATATATAAGTATGTTTCTTTGGTTGTGTCTTGTCTATGAAATCCACATCAACTGATGGAATATCACATTCCATCTATAAAATAAATTTAGTAAGCCACAAATCATTTCATGCTTATATGGAGTCTGTGTATGAAGTAAGAACTTGGTTAGTGCGCCCTCTAGTGATGGGTACAATATAAAGTAACTTGTTTTTATTTCTATGCAAGTGTTTGTAACTATTTTTATTCCATGTTTATAAAAATGTCTCATAATAATAAATCTATGTTATTGTAAAACAGAATTGAATTCTTCTGTCTATATATTATGTACTCCACAGTGTACCATTTAAGACGAAGCGATGCATTTCATGTGATCAAACTATTTATTCCTGTCATTCATACAAGATGTTTCTAGTCACCATGCGCACCACGAAGCCGATAAGTCTTTCTATTTCACCATTGCACAGCGCCCTCTGTTGACAAAGTGTTGAAACCTGCAATATTTGTGTAAAATATTTTAGCAAAAGTGTCCCTGTCTGATACTTTTATAGATATGCATGTAAAATCTTTTTCACATTAAATGCAATTCGTAGACAATTCCCAATTTTGATTTATAAACACAAATTATCAAATATATTATAAC